GTTCTTGCGTGGAGGACAGGGAGGCGGCTATTGCTTGGAGGGAGAGTCCCCCTCCCTATGACCACATGTCGGGGCGGAAAATGGCCGCGGACCACGTGTCAGGGGCGGAAAAATGGCTGCAGACCATGTCACGGGAGGGAAAATGGCCACGTATCCTGTTCGTACCCCGAGGCGGAGTTTGCAAACCGAGGTAAATTTTTGCGGCCGGAGCTGGTCGTAATCCAAAAAGTTCGTTAACAGAGGCGTTCGTAACCCGAGGTACCACTGTATTCTTATGCCATATTTCTTAGAACAGATGTCAGTGTAGCAAACACAATTAAAATAATAAAATAATTATTGTAAGACCAAATTACTGAAATTAAGAATATCCCTAATAAACAAGTCTTTATTACAGTTAATCACATTTCCATAACTCTTCCCAAGGTACTTTTTCCAAATAACTACTTTAGGGTTTGAAAAAGACTCTGTTGATGACATTCATATGAGCTTTTCTTGGGTAAGTTCTTCAAATATTTTTTAAAGTTTCAATACGTCCTTCATGCTATTCTAGCTACTGCCATGCAAAAATTTCATGAACGGGACATCAAGTAGTGATTGAGCAAAGCAGCCATGCAACCAGAGTTCCATGAAATTGCATGGATATCTGCACAAAAAATAATATCTGTGATAGGTTGCTCATGTGCTAGCTTGAATTTGTTTCAGAATCCTAGATTACATGGAAGTTGGCACACAAATAGGGGTCCCTGAATAGGCTTTTTCAGTACCGTCCCCAGGTGAACATAAAGCAGCCAGGATCAAGACTGACAATTCAGCCCCAGTTACTGGACAAACCTATATAGTGAATAGTGTACATATTGCCAAAATTATAGAAATTCTGGAAACAGAATTTTCTGCAGGTGTTGAAGTGAAGTCATGTGAAGTAAAGCCTTTACGACACTGCTGATAAAGTATATGGTATGTGGGAGGGGATAAAAATTAGTTTCTCCGATCTATTTGAGAATCATCTTCATTTACAAACTTTGTTTCATGTCCTTTTTGTTTGTAACTTCTCAAAGGCAGCTTTTATAAAACGGGTTTCTCTGTACTGCATTTTAACACCAGATTGAAAGTGACAATATATGTATGTATGTGTGTATGTGTGTATGTATGTATGTAATTTCCTTTGGCTTCAAGAGTGCCCTCTGGTGGTTTTATTTAACTAAGGTAACACTTGTGCAAGATATTTTCTAACAGCTCTGTTCAACTAATAGCTACCACCTCTGTAAATAAAACTAGATTTTTAGGACTGAAATAAATACCAAGACAGCTAAAATAGGTCTGGGGGGCAAATAGATATAATTTGCATACATGTTTTCAAATTGTGAGAAAAAGGAGCTGGATGAGTAATCACTTGAATGTGGAAACATACAGAGCCAAGAACAAATATGTTTCTTTGATAGTAGGAGTATGTTGAAAAAGTGTTGGTTCTGTATCAAGAGGTTAGTAGGTTCTGAATAGATCTCTGTGTTTGCCTTGGCAACTGTGAAGGTGGTGGAAATAATAGCTGGTTAAGATGTTACCTTGAGGGAGGAATGTCTGAAGACTGTAAATTACCAAAACACTTCATAGAGTTAATTATAAATGCCTTACATATGGAATAATAAGTATCCTACAAAGAAGAAAGCTTTGTGTTTTATGAAGCTAAAACCAGAATGTGTATTTGTGTTTAGTGTTAGATTTCTCTTATCTCATATGAAGAAATGGTATTTCCTAATAAAATTGAAAATTATCTGATTGGCAGCAGCACTCTAAGAAGGCTACAGTGTACATAGAAATATTTTTTGTATAATGCTGCAACAGCTCATCTACTATTATTCTTGGAAGGCATTTTGTACTGTTTTGTACTAAAGGCTTACCTCTTTAACTGGAACCCCTGTAGTCTGGCCTCTGTAGCATTGTACTATAAATATCTTCTCTCTCCCCAACTCTCCTTTGCTACGAAAGCCATCACTGCTCAGTTTGTTGTGGCTGTAGTATATAGTATATTTGTTTTATTTAATTCTAAACATAGTCCTTTTCATTGCGATTTATATTATGGTGCAGATTATAGCTATTTCCAGCATGCTGCTGAAGTAGCCATACATGCAACAATGTTTTGATACCCTTCATATGAAATTTTTTAAAAATTGCTGTTACCGACTGTACTGGTGCTAAAGCTAGACAATTTGTACTCCAGGGAGGCATATAAATATATTACAAGTCATGCTAACCTTTAGCAGTAAGAGATGCTTAAGTAAAGAATAAATTTTATTAACCTAGACTTAATCCATGTTCTGAAAAACAGTTTAGGAATGTTGACTTGACCATAATCATATAATACTAGTCTTCTGGTGACATGGGCATTTGCTTTAGAAGGAGGAAAGTGCTTATAAGTGCTAGTATTTGGTTTCTTTGAATACTAAACAAATTAATTTGCCTTATACAAATTATACCATTCATCTATGTAGCTTTCCAAGATGTTAAGGAGATACTATCACAGCACTTCAATTAAAGATTGAAAGTGGTGGACCTTTTCCATGCAAAGAATGAATCACTGAGCTATGAGCAGCCGTGTAAGGCTGTTGTTGAACTTGTTTAGCTGATACAGAAGGCAGCAGCCCATGTTCTAATGGGTGTACATTGCTTGAGCGCATTATTCTAGTTATTAGAATAATGGCTCTCAAGATCTTACCCCAATTCCAGAGTATAAGCTTGATATTTAGAACTCTCCATTGCTTTGGATCCATCATGAAGACTGCCTCATTTTCCATGCCATGTAACAATCTGTACAATTAACTTTAGCTCTCACTTCACTATACCATCTCTGTGCAGAATCCATATGACAGGGATGCAGAGAGAGGCATTCTTGGTGGCTGCTCAACCAGTTACGGAACTTTCTTCCCTTGGAGACTTGCTAAAGTTCATGGACCTTTCGGAAGCATTGTAAGATGTTTTCATTTGGTCTGACTTCTAGTGACTGGGGTTAAGCCATTAGCAGGTTTATTAAAACTTACCTTTAAACGATTTCAATGTAAAAGTAATATTGCTGGTTTCTGTGCCTTGATTTTTTAAAGTATTCTTATGAAGATCATACTGGGCAGGACTTTCACTTTCCGATTCCTGTGTCTTGGAATACTGATTTGGGACACACTTCAAGCAGGCAAGATTTATATTTAAGGGCACAGAAATACAATTCATATAATGTTTGAGAAGTCTACAAAAAAGACTTAATTGCAGTCCTAAATTTGTTTGTTTTGAAATCAGGCAGAATGTTTTCTAGGAAAAAAACAGATATAATTTATGTTAGGCAATAGAAATAATCAGAGGTTAAAGCTGTACCTCTGAAAACATGAAGGATTGCCTCTTTTTATTTAATTATTTGTTGCTCACTCAGCAAATAATTTTCTTCTGAGCAGTTTAGCAAAAACCAAAAAAAACTACATGAAAAAAATGTAACATTAAAAACTCAGAAAAATCAAGGCTATGTTTAATTTCAGGCCTTGAAAACTAGAATGGCCCTTGCCTAGCATTAAATTAATGACTGTCTAGGTGCCGGAGGGATGTCCGGAGTGGGCCATTGGTTCTAAGAATTCTCTCTCCTTAGTTACTACCCACCACATCTCATTTAGTGAAGAGTCCTGAAGAAGAGCTTCCAGTGATGATGCAGTGTTTTATCTGAAATTTTAAAAAGGTTCAGATGCATCACCTTTATTTGACAACTTTGGTGTGAGAGCTGTTGGCTGACAGGAACAACTTTCCTAAAGATCTCAAAGACAGTCTGGATAGAAAATTCCAGTTATATTTATATGCATATATTACATCATTTGCAGAATCTAGTTATCATGGATTTTTTTTTGCTTTTTTTGATCAATTCTCCACAGCTTAATAAAATTGTCAGATAAGCATTGGAGTTGCTAGATTAAAATTTTGAATCACAATTCTCCCTCTCCCTCACATTTTTGAAGCCATAACTATAAAGGGCTGTTATTAGCATACAAATGAGATTATTTATTCTTAGGTAAAATAACATTTTACTATAAGAAAACTGTAATAATTTCAAGCTTGGGTTTGTCAGATGAATATATATTGGTGACTACTTATTCTGGCACTTAGTGGTCTCTCTATTTGATTTTTAAAAAAAACATTTACAATACAATCCTGTACATTCTGCTCAGAAGTAATTACTAAGTTCAGTGAAAGTTTTTACTCTACCAGGTAATTGTATAGGAATGCAGCCTTAAGGTTCTATTTCCCCCCCTTTTTTGAATAATTAAAATTATTTATGTTGCATAGTCCAATGAAATTTTATAAAATATGCAGGATGATTGTGTGTGTGCGTGTGTGTCCATATCCCAAATCATTCTGCTTTAAATATCTTGATCCAGTATGCTTCTTAGAATATGGGAAATATGTTTTAGGCTGCAGTCCTATCTACACTTACTTAAGAGTAATAATCCGATCTCTGCAGCTTGCTTATAAAAGTCTGCATAAGGTTGGGATATTGAAATAATATGGAAAATGGAGGAGGCTATTTTAATGGATATGCTCAAACCACCTAATACAAGTATTTTTTTGTGGAAGCTATGTAAGGAACTTTCTGAAAATTGCATTAATACAGTTAAAATCAGAAATGAAGTGAATATATTGTATTTATTATAGCCTTAAGTATAAAGTGCTTTTAAAAAGTTCTCAATTGCCCATGCAATTTCTTACTAAATTTCATTCTGATTTACATATTTTAC